CAAGGTAGCCCTCTCTCGCTCGTTCGGCCGCCTGTCCGCCTCTGCGCCTGCAGCGGGCGAATCTCCTCTGCTGGTGGACGGCTCGTCGACGCAAGTCGGCGATCTCTGCCGTCCACCAGTAGACGGCCCGCTGAGGCCGAGCTTTGGATCGGGGCATCGCAGCGTTGCAAGCCGCTGTTAGCGTTGCCCCGATCCACTCGGCCTCTTGCAGGGGGTCCGTCTCCCGGGTCTCGGGGAAACCTCCCCGGACCCAACAGGCGGCCTCTAACGAGGCCATCAGGGCGTCCTCGCAGTTTGCGGAGGGCCCATCGCGGTCGCGTCTCCTGGCGGCGCACGGGGGAGAGGACACCGAGCTCCACCGTTATGTAACGGTGGTCAGACAGAGTCTCGATGTCCCGCTCCACCCTCCACCCAGTGATCAAGCGCGCGGCCGAGGAGGTAGCCCACGTGAGGTCCACGATGGACTCCCCCTGCGTCCGCACGCAGGTGGGGGTCCGGCCCTCGTTCCTGAGGACCAGCCCGTGCTCCGCCGCCCACTCATCCAGAGCCTGCCCCTTACTGTTCGTGCGCCGGGAACCCCAACTCGTGTGCCACGCGTTGAAGTCCCCGGCCACGAGGACCGGCCTCGGACTCAGACGTAGGACCGTCCGTCCTATGTCCGATAGCCAGCCCCTAAACAGGGCGAGGCGTCTGGTGGGCCTTAAATAGACCCCAACGACCGCGATGGGCCCCCATTGAACGGCGACATGCCGTTGTCCCTTTTCGATGACGGTCGTGCCAGGTCCTCCCGGCACCGACCGCCACCGAATCGCGACCGAGTCCCCCGCCTGCCCGTTATCAACAGCCCAATATGGGCTGTCTCTCGGGGGGCGGTGGGGCTCGGACACGATCGCCAACGTGAACCCACTCTCCACCATGCTCTGCTGGAGCAGATCCTGAGCCTGTGGAGAGTGGTTCACGTTGGCCTGTATGAGGCCAAAACCATTTAGATTCGGACGGGGGGAGAGCGAGGCATTACTCGGCCTTATTATCCCCTCCGTCCGATAGGGCCTCTACCTCCATGGCCTCCGGTGGAGGTGAGGCCCTCTTCCTTGGCGCCCCGCTGGGTTGGTGCTGCGGTTGCGGCTCCTGGGTTGGGCCACCCGCTTCTTCCTTCTCCTCCTCCGTCGGCCGCGCTTCGGCCGGGGGGGGAGCGCCGGTGGCAGGCGCCTGCTCCATGGCGCGCTGCCCCGGTGGCCTCCCACGCACGTTCTTCTGGGCGCAGGACTTTGCGCCCAGAACGTGCTTTGCCGGCCTGCCCTTGTCGGTGCACAAAGGGCACTTCGGGGCAGACCGGCAGTCGCGGGAGGTGTGACCGGCTTCGCCGCACCGGTAACACCTCCCGCTTCTATCCCCTTCACTGGAGCACATCGCCCTCGTGTGGCCCCTCTCGAGGCACCTGTGGCAACGCATGGGCCGTGCCTCGAGGAGGGCCACTCTGGCCATCACCCAGCCAACCCTGATTCTCCCCTGCTGGGAGATCTCCTTCGCCGCGGTGAGGGGTAGGCGGGCCCAAAGGCTAAACGTGCCTCCGGCGGCCGGCTGCAGCGCTCCGCATTGGACATCGGAGACGCTACACCGCGCCGCGTCGGCCACCCACCCCCTCACCTCCTCGACTCCCAGGGAATCGTCTAGGTCCCGCAAGCGGACCTCGGCCATCTTTCGCGGTCGGTCGACCCGCGTTCCCTCCTCCTCGGGGAGGACCTGCCTAATCCGCTCCGCGAGCAGATCGGCTTTGTCGGCATGGCCCTCCCCAGTGACCTTGATGACCCTGGCACCGGTGGCCCCATATCTAATGTTGATCCGGCCCCCGATGCCAAGGTCCTCGAGTTTAATACTCTGCCTTAACATGGCAATGGTCTCGCGGTAGTCGCCACTGGGTCGAGTGACTACCACGGCCGACGTCCGCGGGACCCTCCGCCTGGGAGCCCTCTTAGGCGCCCCACCGGTCCGCCCTTTCGCCGGGGGACCGGGGGCAGCCGCCCTGGAGGCACCCTTGGCCGCCTTCTTCTCCGCGGCCCTACTTTTCCTCCCCAGCACCGTCACGTATGTCTCGACACCCGCGGCGGGTTGGGGGGGCTTGGCGGTCCCTGTGTTTGAGGGACCCGCCTCTTCCACCCTCTGCGTCTGCCGCGAGAGGGGGACCTTCTTCTTCTTCTTCCTCTTCTTCTTCCTGGTCCCCTCCCCCGCATCATTCGCATCCTTCTCCGGGGGGTTTGCCCCCTTCGCTCCGCCCCCCTGGTCGGCCCCGGGAACCGGGCGGCCCCTCATGGCACCCCCTCCTCCCTTTCGAGGGTTGGAGGGGATCGCCGCGGCGCCGCTATCACGGGCCCCGCCGCCGACCAAGGACCGGATCAAGTCCTCCATCCTCTGGAAGGACTCGCCGACCACCTCCTGAATCCTCCTCTCCACCATCT